AAAAAGAAGGAAAATCCAAAATATCTGTTTATTAAAGGGACTTGTAGTTTTGTCTCAGAGATATTGGATTCGATGATATCTTTGTGTATCTAAGTTTAATAGTCCCCTCTTAGCTGGTGAATGGAAATAGTCTGTCAAAAGCAGGTTGAAACCCACTGCTGACCAGTCTCCTCTAGATGGCAGCATGAGGCCTCCCATAGAAGTCTTGCTTCTTTTCATTTTATAAAACTGTCATTTCAGTCACGGTTTGTTCTTCCCAAGATTGTTTTTTGTGATGTATTTTCTGTTCAGAACATGCATTGTCTTTTTTTACAGTATTTTCCAATGTTCTATCAGCACTGAGTGTGAGAGACAGTTCTGCTTCATTATGTTAGCAACTTTTGCTTCCAATCTTCTACATCCCACCTCGAATCCTTCATATTTTCAAAGACTTTTATTTTCATCCAAGTTATTAATAAAATGCTGTGCAGGACCAGGGTGATTCTTGCAGAACTCTATGAAAAATATATCTATTGAGTGACATTGCAATTGTGTTCTCAGATCTATTATTGACCCCGATCACAGCATACTTTCTTGATATTGTATTAGAATTCATTAGGCAAAGTGATGTGGGACTGTGTACCTTTTGAAAAGTTTATTCATAGAGGTACTATTGCAAAACTGACATTAGATATCTGAACAGTTCATTTGACGTGATGTAGTTTGATAAATTAATAATTACTGAATTACATGCTTTGTTTCTTGAATTCATATGAACTCTCTTACTGTTTTGTCTATATAACTGAGCTTTCATAACAAATGTGCAAGAAATTTATTGAATATTTTGTCCATGTTCACTGCTTTCATCTCAGAATGGTTGAATACTATTATCTGGATTCCATGTTCTTATTATCTATAATTCCAGCTGTCCCTAACTTTTTGGCCATTGATTTCTCAGATCCTCACTTGGTTGCTTGCTTCTATCAGATCTCTTTTCTCTACAACTAATTTCCTTTCCTCTTTTTCCCGTAGGGTTACCTTTACTTTCTGTCACCCTGGCTAGTTTGTTGACTGCCCTGTGGCTTCTGTGAATCAAATTAATTTGTAAATATATAATTTATGTTTTCTTTCCAGCTTGTTTGACCTCTGTTCTTCCACTGTCATCCTGGCATGCTAGTAGGCGGATTCTCGCTCAGAATATTCCTTGCAGAATATTCTTCCCTTCCTTAGCACAGAATTCACATCAAAGGATAGCTTTCCTTGAATGAAACAGGATTTTTGTAGCATGAACTGATGATTTATTTTTTTAAATTTTTGCTGTCCTCTTAAAAGATAGGCTATCCTTGGGTCTCTTTTGTGTGTTTATTCTTTGCTACGAGGTGGTTCTGGAGTTCTCCAGCAGCTTCCAGGCTCAGGACCTTGTATCAATAATAATAAAGTCTTCTGAAAATAAATTATTTTTCAGCACCTCTTCTGAGGTCTCAGCTTGTGTTTCCTTGCCTCCTTTTGCTTGTTGCTGCTTTTTTTGCTTCAGTTCTCAGAATCACACAATCATTTAGGTTGGAAAAGACCTCCAAGATCATCAAGTCCAAACTTCTCACATTAGAGCTTCTATTTTTTTTTCTGTTAATCGATTATTTTATTGGTTAGAATACATTGAAATAATTTTTAGTATTAAAAATCCCGCTTTGTGTTGATTTTGCTGTCCCTGTTAATGTGGCTATTGTAAGGGTGGGAGAAGGAACTGGGCTTAATGAACACACCTACTTTTAATTGTTCATGTAGTTGGGAGGCATAATATCTTTTCTGAATGTGAGCTGCAGCCAGTCAGTTTCATTTCTGCCGGTGGCAGAAGTTTGATGGGAAAACAGGGTACAGGCTTATGTTATGGGCTTTTTCCTGCTCTCTGTCTCTCCAGCTTTGCTTTGAGTGGAGTAGTGAGCACTGTAGAATGAGGAGACCCCAGCTAATGTGGCAAGCAGGAGGAGAAAGGTCTTACTTGGGAACTCAGTCACAGATCCTGACTCAATGTTTGTGGCCCAGAAAGCAGCAAATTTCCGAACGCTTCATGTAAATAACGGCAAATTTAGATTGCTACATCTGGTTTTCCACTGTATGATCCATTGCACCTTTCACAGCAACTGAAAGTTGACTTTAGAAGATTTTTGATGTCTTGGGTTCATGAACTAGCAGCTCTGGGAAGCTCATGCATTTAAAGATGTGCCCTGTCATCCTTTGGAATATATGTATACAGAGAGATGTATCTGAGAACTATATGCAGAGAAAAATGTTTTTGTTATAAAAAAATTAAAATAAAAAGTTGGTGTTTTTTCCAAACTTTGGAACAAACCTATGTGTATAAAAGTAACAGATATGTAGGATGGGGAAGTGGGAAAAGCATTGTGTCATTGAAAGAATGTGGTTGTCCAGGGACTTTCTGAAGGCCCTGCTATTGCTTCCCTGGGAATTTCTGATATTTTTCATGTAACACCTGCTGTACTGGTTCGGAAGTCCTAAAATGTAAATGTAGATACCTGGTATCACAGCCACATTTATAAAATCTCACTGATGCCAGAGAGATTATGTGGCTGTTACTCCATCACAGTACAGTTTTGGTGATACTGTTAGTGCAAGACTTCCTCCAAAGCCTATTCTTTTTAAGCCCTAATATCTTTGTGAAGGTAATAGTGCTTTTGTGCTGTCTGTGCCTTAAAGATTAGAAAATATGGGATAACTGACGAAAGAGATATGAATGCCATTTATAATTTCCCTGTCAGTGATTTTTGCTAGTCTAATATCTTGTGTTAGATTGAATTTTTATCTGGAGTTGAAGCTAGTTTGTGATGTTCCTGCTATAAAATTAGGAATTACTGTATTATCTAATGTTAAGTCCTCATACTCTTTCAAGAGCAATGAGACAGTTCCTGAACCTGCTCAACCAAGTCTCCCTATTTATAGTGTCCCATGGTTTTGTGTGTCCTGTCTTTCACTGGACTCTAGCAACTTTGCTGCTGTTTTCTTTGTAATGCTTATTTATTTTCCATATACATTAAAGCAAATTAAATACCAGGGTGCAGTGGAAGAGCTATTTGATGCTAGCTATCAAGGGCCCACAAATTAGACCTGGATGACCAGGGAGATTGCAGGTGAACAGCAGAAGTTTGGTCATCTTATAGCACCAGACTGATAGAGGAAAAGTCAGCCAGCATATAGTCAGTCAGTGATGGTTTTTCTTAATAAGAAGAATAAGAAAATGACTACGAGTTTTTAGCCTGGAGAAAAACAGCCGAAGCAGTATGTGAAAAAGATATGTAAAACTGAATAATTCAGTGTAAGTGTGAATAGGGAATGACTCTTCGCTGTTTCTTGTAGTCCAGGAGCCAGACAGAATAAGAGTGTGTCAGGACAGACATGAGGAAGTACTTGTGCTGCACGTTAAAGTGAGAACTCATGGCCACTGGATGTTGTGGGTGTGGAGTTTATCTCACTCAATAAATGAGATAAATTATTGGAAGATAAATCCATCAAGGGTGTCTGACCA